AAAATGGATGCTGGCAAACGTTACTTGTAAACATTACGAGCCCCGAATCTGCCGAAGACAAGTCCGGACCCCCCCCCAGAATTTTTTACGGATTTGGAACAATATAAATTAGGTCCATTTTGACTGGGAAAAAAGCGGAATTCCGCCAAAACGCGGAAAAATCTCATCCCTGTGGATTAATTAGAACTGATAGTCAAGATTGCTGCCTGGCAAAATGGGAGTCTTGGATCACACCTAGCCATCCCCTAAAAAAAGCAGTCTGGGAAGTGGACCATCCACTCAAAATCTCCCCCAGATGTGGTGGCCTTGGGCGAGACAGCAATACCATGAACTGTTCCCCAGGAGATAAAGACGCCCCCTTTTTCAGTGTGTGCCTCAAACTGTGTGTCTTTGTTGTGGCGTTTAGAAAAAAAAAAAAAACCTGAGGTCAAATTTTGTGAATATGCATGATCATAGATCGTCTTATGTCATAACAATAAAGGATGCTTCTTGTATTCCTCTTTATCATGCTGTTCACATCATGAGACCAAGACGCCACCTAACAATTGATCAACGGTAAACCCGCCACCGCAAGGCTTCAGAGAGGATGGTCTAAGACGGAAGTGGTGTCTGAGCTTGGAGTGTCATCAGCAGGGTGCAACAGAGAGGGACTAAGAAAGTGACAGGAAGGCATAAGAGTGGATGCTCTGGGAAATTAATTGGTGGATTCATGGATGAAACACCTGTTGGGCAGGGAAGTGTGGTCAGGGTAGACAAGTGAGGCCACCTGCTGTCCCTTCCCCTGCATGCTAAGGGTGAAAAAGAAGAAAATATAACTGATCATTATTTTAGTTCAATGGTCCTTGCCTTATATCGATTTTCTTTTTCAAACCAATAATTATCAATAATTTCATCATTAAAATGGGCCAATGCACATATTTCCAGTTCAAATATATGGGCAAGAATGGAACAGAGTCATTGCACTTGATCTGCCCGAAAACAACCACTTTCTTTAATATGTTCCACTGGTGATTGTGCTTTCGGAAGTGTTCATTCGTGTGTTATAGCGAAAAGGAGAGAATATTCATTCATTCATTTTCCGAACCTCTTTATCCTCACTAGGGTCGCGGGGGGTGCTGGAGCCTATCCCAGCTGTCTCCGGGCAGTAGGCAGGGGACACCCTGAACTGGTTGCCACCCAATCGCAGGGCACACAGAAACAGACAACCATCTGCACTCACACTCACACCTAGGGACAATTTGGAGTGTAAGGAGAGAATACTTATCCGAAATCACCTGAGTTTCATTTCTGACCGTGTGTTGAATACACAAACTGTCCCACTACAAAACAATACTGTACACATTCCATTGAGTTTATCATCCGGCAATCTTGCGAGCGTCTGCCTTCATCTAGTCTAGGTAAACAAAACCACTTGCTCTATGAATATTATTTACAATTTCATTAAGATTGTGGATGCGTTCCGCAGTTTTAAGAATAACGTACCTGTAGGAGCACTGTCTAATATCCTCACGTCGTATGCTCCAGAGCAACGGTAGTTCGCAGCGGTGCCGTTATCCCAGACAACCACCACCTCCTCGGGACTTTCAAAACTCCTGACGGTGCCGACATGTCCCTCCCCGCCGTCCTGCTTGCCCCACTTCCAATCGGGTCCCCGAACCACTCTCGCTCCGACTCCTTCCATCATGGCTCGGTTGTTCCTACCGGTGGTCATTTAACAAACGAAGAAGGGGGGAATAGCCCCAGCGAATCTTTTTGAGTTAGCGAGCTAGCTGTGCGAGCTGGCAACAAGGGAGCGGGCAGTTTTTGAATGCAATTCCGTAACAGAAGCCGCACAGCCCCACGAAGCTCGCCGCGCTCGCTGCTTAAGGAGATCGCCTCTTCTTTTGCAAACAAACGCTGCATTCGCCGAGCCCTTGTAAATTGGCAGAGGAATTAGGCGGAAAGCTGACGAAGCGGCGACATTGTTTGCTTAGCTGACCCTCTTCGCCTCAGCAATGCTAACCTCTTCAACTTAGCAAGCTAAAAGCGAGCCTTGATGCTAAAGCTAAGCTAGCAGAATAAACCCCGTCCTTGCCCAAGCCAAGTCTTTGCGCTGATACTGGCTCCTTTCGGGTATATCAATTGCTCCGCACGGGCGCAGAACATTCACCTAGAGGTGTTCGCTTTGTTAGCCCGGCCGGAGATGGTTCTCCGTCTTCTCTTCTCCTCTCCCAACCCCCCCTGCTGGAGTCAAGTCAGAATAAACCCGCCGCCATTATTGTCAATCATCATCGCTCCCTCGGAGTGGCCACACCAGCAACAACAACTAGCCCGACGGAGATGCACGGAAAAGCACGAAGGAGACACGAACGTTTGGTGGACGACCACATGCACGCGGGTCCCGGCGGCGTGCTCGCGCAGCTGCGTTGGACGACCGATTGTGACGTCACAACGTCAAAAGCATTGTGCGCACCTGAATATTCTTGTTCTTCTTCTTTTTTAATTTTAGAAATGATGGTGGTTGGCACACCTTATTTTGGAACAAAGTAAACACACATGTATTTAATTAATCAAACCTTGACTTAAAATTTCACATGATCGCCCTGAGGGATCGTCACCGGTCACTTATTTGGGGATTTAGATTTTTTTCATTGACAAAAGGCAGTGTTGTTCGAAAAGAAAAGTTAATTTACTATATAAATATAATACTGAAAATATAAGGTAACCCATAGCCTAAAAAATATGATGCTCATAAAACCCTCCTATGTCAAACACCCCAAAAGTGGGAATTGAACCTTAACTTTTGGGGAAAAATATGCCCTTCCAAATCAAACAAAACTTGGATTTCAAGTGACATAATCATCCACTTATTAACTGTAGCATTGAAAGTATTAATTCAACAAATGTTCATTTCTTTATCTTGAGCATGTTTGCTATGCCACAACAGGGTGCCATTCGAAAAAAATATACAGTATAACTAGAATTAAAAATGGAGCTGACTGACACATTTAGGATAAGGTATAAACTGCTCAAAATGAGATAATACAAACAGCAAATAGTGTTTGTACTTTTCATTATGCAATGGTTGACTTGTTTTTACATGGATATGTCAAAAAAGCCTCTTACTATTTTGTGTTTTTGGTTTTATGATGATGTCATTGACTTACGCTATTTTCGATGTAGTAAAATGGTACCCGTTTTGATTTGTGGGAATCATAGATCCGACAAGAATCTTGATGAGTAGATGTAGCCGAAACTGTTTTTTTCCAGTTTCCACGACAGTGTAAATAGATCACACGGATTTGTTCAGAAGCACATCTTGTAGATTCTACCATAGCCCAATAATAACACTCCATATATTTAAAAAAAAAAAACTAACTAATCTAAAACGAAGCATTTTTAACAGATACAAAAAAATACTGTACAAACGAACAAACGGCAAAAAACAAATTAAAACTAAGTGAATAGGAAAAAAACAAAAGTCAAAAGGAAATAACAAAACGAAATATAATGACAAATGAAAAGGTATTCTCGGCTAGCACTGAGGACAAGTGCGAAAGAAAATAACTGTAAGGCTGCCAAGGATACGTTCAGCTTTGCAAGGGCATCAAGGGGTCGACGTTATCTGGACAAACAGCGCCATCGCCCGGTCTGCTTTACACATGCACCCGGCACTCCATGCCCTCCCCTCCAACCTCAGCAGGTCCCCTTGGCTGTCTCCTGCAATGCAGGAAGCACACACACACACACACACACACACACACACACACACACACACACACGCTCACACAAGGGCGAGCGCTTACGCGCAATCACGCGCACGCGTACACGCACCCACGCATAGACCGGGTCTGTCGAGCCGGCCGCTGTTCTCGCAGCCCAGCGTCCCTAGAATCGAGGCGCCTTGCAATGATCTCGCCGCAGCTGAATTTGGATGTTTTGACGCGGGACCTGTCTCATTATCTGGAAAACCAAGTGAAAGTTGGTCTTCTGGGCTCGGGAGTGGGGCTGTCTCTAGTGCTCGGTTTCAGCGCGGCGTACACCTGCTACTACCTCATCTCGGTGGCCAAGGTAAAGCCGTGCTGTGTGCTTATTTCTATGAAGGATTATGAAAGTATTCACACGTTTCGTTGCACGGGCGTGCAGCAGCAGCAGCAGCGGCGGCGGCGGCGGCAGCGGCAGCGGCGGCAGCACCACCACCTCTGTGTGGTCGGAATGACGCTCGACGAACTGTCTGCCGCTAAAAACTGTTTTTGTTTTCGTCCTTATTGCACACTTTAATTTGATGATCCCATTCCTGAAGTACATGACATATGCATCCACATGGCAAACGCGGGCGCGCGCACACACACATGCAATCAATGTCAAGGCAATTACAGTTCACCGGATGTCTCAATACTGTAAAGCTAGCTCGAGCCCGCCCTCTAGTGTTCATCATTATTAGTATTACTGTATTACTCATAAATAGTAGTGGTACTAGGAGTAGTATACAGTATCTCCCTATTATGCTGCGTTTCCCAATCCAAACCATTATTAAAGGCCATTACAGCAGTGGTTATCAGACGTGTCCACAAATACTGAGCTCTTCAAGTACCACCATCACGACCAACATTATATATTAGAATTATACAGTATATCTGTATGCGAATCATATGTATCAGAATCAGAATCAGAATCATCTTTATTGGCCAAGTATGATATGTATGTATGTTTAGCTATTTATGCAAATGCGTACGAAAAATACTGTCTACACTATATATAAATATGTACATAAATACACACACATATATAGATACAGTACATGTAGTATTTATTAGCCTTTTCATAGATCTGATTGACTAGATTGGATCCGCAGATGTTTAGCATTTTCTGCAAGATTGGTTTTCATGGTCTTAATTTGTCAATCGATTCGCAAAGTAAGAAAATACATCAAATACAATCCTGTTCACCAAGGTGTCATAGCAAATCAGTCTGATTTTTTTTTCTTTCCGATATTTTTACATAAATAGTTTTCAAATTGTATTTTACTGTAGTTTTATATCATGTATTATGTATGGATTATATTTATATTGCATTTTTTTTTTTATTGAATGCGGATTAGCTTTTTGGGAAGAATTTTTAGGGTATATTGTAATTATTTTTTCCCCCCCAATTCATTTCAGTGAATGTCAGTTATGAGCAAATTTTGACTATTGGTGGGCTGGGCCAGTCACAATCCTCCACATATAGCGGTGTTCCACTATACAGTAAATAAGTTGTTTAGATTGGCTAGATTAGTCCATCTTCTGAATGGATAGGTGATTGTATTTATATTGTGTTATAAATTTGTAAAAATACAATATTAATTAATAAAATCAGAGATGTGATTCTGTAAGATATAATAAATGAATAAATAAAACCACATGATGTTTTGTTTTACAAGATTCCAGGTGTCAGCTTTTGTTTCGGATTTAGCACTACTTAATGGATTGTTTTTATCAATTTAGACTACTTGGATTACAGCAATAGTTAGTGATGAATATGGGAATGGTACCTTTTGCCAAAATGCTGTGGACTACACAAAATTTAACATGCACTGTTTGCTTGTGTGTTTTTGCAGAAGCCGCAGCTCATTTCAGGAGGCAAGAAGTTCTACCAGTTCCTGCACGAGCAATGCCCCATCGTGTCGGAAACCTACTACCCCACCTTTTGGTGCTGGGAGAGCCGCATCCAAACGCTGCTCAGACCCTTTGTCACGGCCAAGCCTGGAGTGGCCTACAGGAAGTGAGTCCTAAACCGGCGTTGACTCTTACACAAGAAACGGATCTGAGATTTCTGTTAAGACTGAACTGAGTGGAGCTGTGTTACACTGGGAGGCATTCTGCCTTTATTCTCTATTTCACAACTAATCGGAGTCTTATCCTTCAGCAAAGCTCAGAGGACAAAAGAGGCTGTTTGTGCCTTTACTCTGACAATATGCAAAAATACTTAACCTTGTAGGGCGAAAACACAAATTGCGTCGCTCCCTCAAATCGTACGTTGGGGTCAAAAAAACGGTGGTAATTATAATTTGGATATTTACCCAAATGTGCCATCATAAATTCCTAATACCATAAAGTTTCAGATTACTGAAAGGTATCAAAAGACATCATAGGGAGCATTGACTACTCATTGTCATGCTTCATCTAAAGTCTTTTTTTATGATTTATGTGGCAATTGTCCTCCTAGTATGATCATTGGTGATACTACAAGGACATTTGCGGTGGTAATCCACATTGTTCCCATCCTAATGCTGTTATCAAAAGTGACAGTCACATTTGCTGGAGTTATGTCTTAGAATAGTACAGGGCACCCCCCCCCACCTTAACACCCCTCCCACCTCCCATAATGAAGTCATTAAGAGTTAACTCGAGGTCAAAGAGGGTGACCAAAGTGCTTTGTCTCTGGTGGTGCAGGTGAAGCAATGCTGCGGATGCGCAGCCTCCCTCCCTTCCCCCCCTGCTCCCTTTCTTTGGCCTCCAGGTGCATATTTCACGGAGCTTCTGTAATTTCATGCTCCCTGTGCTAAAGGTGTAATGTACTCAGGCCAAGGTGGACCGGAATGGGAATTGATGGAGCATATAAGGATCCGCAAGCCCAGTGCTATTGGTCCCTCTTTTATATTTTACAAAGCACACTAGTGACTTTATGATCGCTGAGGAAATGAGCCAGCTGTCAGCAAAGGTTCAGTGCCGTCATCCATGTCCTCCATTTGGCTGCGCCACAATCAATACGCCCGAGTAATCATTTCCTATACAGTATGTCAGGTTCACCTGTTGACATTAGTAAAATAAAACACCACTCAATGAAGGAAGCAAAGACACCAAGTTCATTTTGCTAGCAAGAGAACGAGAGAAGACTGGAGGACAATCTCACCCAACCTTGTCCGCAGTCCACTCGCCCCTCTCGATTTTTTTATTGAGTACAGGAGATCCCTATCATACTTGTTCTGCGAAAGCTCATGCGTCGTATGCCATGCAAGGCAAGGCATTTTTGCTTAGTCATTTACTTTGCCCTCTTATCAACCCTCAGCAGTGTCATCATGCGTCAGTCGTGGATCTGAAAAGGGTCTCCTGGGCCTCAATGTGTGCGTCCAAAGTTGTCTCCACCCAAACTTCTTCACTACAAACAGCCTTTAATATGTTCAACAAATGTATCACTTCTCACTGTAAACAACTCCAACAGAAAAACAAGCAAATGTATGATAATAGAATTGCTTTTCGAGATGGAACAGAATTTAAAGGAAACGTATTTTGCTTTTGTTTCACAATCTAAAACACTTCTCAGGTTTATTACTAACATGTCCATGGCATGGCTTGACAGCCAGCGTGTGGAACAGGGCTTCGGTTTGGCATGACTGATTTAGAGTGCCTCGGCGTTGACCGTGAATTTGCACGCGTCACACAGACAACAGTGGATGTGCGTGCAGGGGGAGAATTGGTTTTTATTTTAAATGTCCGAGTTGACAGCCAGCACGTGAAAAGGGGCCTTGTGTGGGCATGGCCGCTTTAGTTGTGGCATTGTGGAAAGCCACACAATGACCTGGTGGGATATAATATAGTCAGTCATGCCTTCTGTCTGATTGGTTGTTTTCTTCAGGTGCAGTGTTTTCTTCAACATCAAAACAGAGGTACATTCGTTGGCTCTCATCATTTTCCTCGTGCACAGCTGTCAGGTCATGATCACAGTTGTACCAAAAATTATGAAAGTGATTAAATTATTTTTAAACTGCAAAGTCCAACTTTAATTGCTCCTTCTTCATTTGCAGTGAATGGCGGCTATTTGTAGCAAGGTACCACTGTACTTTCTTGAGACTAATTACAGTAGAGACCAAGCCTACCCACAAAAAGCGAAAATTAGCATTTAAGTGACACCGACGAAATACATCTGGGGATTCTTTTTTTTTTTTAAACTGGCAAAAATTCTTCCAAAAAAATGTTGATATACATTTAACATACATGTTTAGTCTGAAAAATGGGGAGAAAATGGGAGATGAAAAAAATAACAAACCACAAAAACATTGACAAAAAAATTGGTGGAAAAAAAACCCCCACAAATATGCAAATCCACCAGTGCTAAACCGTGTGTAGGCGGGGTTGGACCGAACTACTTTCCTATTCGTCAGTGCTTAGGCAACATTTTGTGCCATCTTAGGGCTTGACAAGAAGAGCAGAATAATAGTCCTCGCCGTGCGGATATGTGTGCTTTCCGCAGCAAAGATTCCACAGAAGAGAATGCAAATTTGTGCATCGCAAACTGCAAATCGGCGAGCAGTGACTGTGTTTCGATGCGTGTCTTACAATGAATAGGCTGGGTATCGGAAGCGCAAGACGATCAAGGTATAGGGCAGCGGCCATAAAGATGTGCAATGCTGACTGTTGTGCCTCCTCTCTCCGCAGTGAGCTTATTAAGGCGGCAGATGGAGGACAGATCTCCTTGGACTGGTTCGACAACGATGACAGCCTTGCTCATCCTGACCCCGCCTCCAGACCCACCATCCTCCTCCTCCCGGGGCTGACCGGCACCAGCCGAGAGTCCTACATCCTGCACATGGTCGAGCAGAGCCAGGATCTGGGCTATAGGTGGGTGGTCTTGGCCTAATTTGCAACAGGGAGGTGCACCAAATGGAAAGAAGACAGCACACCAGGCCTCATTTTATTTATTCAAGATGCAGATGTTCTGTCCAGAGTACACCCAAATGAATCTTTCAGTACCCCCTATCACATAGACTCGGCTAAATTACCACATCAGAGCCATAACAGATTTTGCCACATGTCATAGAGTGACACAAAAAAGAGCCAGTCATTGAAATAAAAAAGTCCCTTGTGTCCTTTAAACGGAGATCCAGCAAAATTGATGTATTGGAGATGTAAAATAGGATTAAGGTGGCATTGATTTGCCTTTGCCTTTCACGCACAACTTAGCGAAGAGATCCCACAAAATCGCTATAACGGAGGAGATGCCTTTAGCCATTGGCATTTTACACCAAAACCAGTAGGAAGTCGGTGTGCTTCTACAACTAGTAGCCTCTTTCACACAGATAGCCTGCAAAACTGCCATATCAAATGCATAACAGAAGATATTGCTGCAAATCAGTGAGATTTCACCTGGAAACACAGAAAATATGCAGTCATCGACATAACCTTTACTCCCAAGTCTGTTTCCCATAAAGAGTTTGTGAAATTACCGTGTTGAAGTCTTAACAGAAGATATGGCTCAAAGACCGTGAGATCCAACACTGTGACACACAAAAGTTAGAAACATGACCCGCTCATGTAAATGGCCCCAAAATAAGCCCACAATCTTTTTCACACAGACAAATAAAAAGTATTATTATTATTATTATTATTATTGTTATTATTAAATCACAACATTTCTTTGACAGAAGACCTGCCATTCTCTACCTTTGCCTTTTACACAGAGCCCAGCAAAGTAGAATGTTGATCAGACAATTAGATGCCATCAGCTTCAGTGTCTAAAATGCTTCTGCATTATTGTGCAAAAGCACACACTGTCCTGCCTTCCTGGGTTCTGTATAAAAGGCAAAGCAGCTAATTACAGGACCCTCTGTATTTGCAGGTTCTCTCTGCGTGTGAGAGACTCATTCAGGGTTTGGGGTTATTTCCACTTGCCTTGTATGCTTCTGTAAAAAAGGCAAAGGCAGCTTTTTGTAGGATCTTCTGTTACAGTTGTTTTGCAGGGTCTCTGTATGAAACGGCCTTGGGTTATTGTTGGTGACAGGTACAACTCACGCATTGCTGATTTTGCCACATTTGGGAAGCTTGGTGAACTCAGCATCTCCCACCCCTCATTCCTGAGTGTGTGCGTGCGTGCGTGTGTGTGTGTGTGTGTGTGTGTGTGTGTG